AGCTAGCTGTATGCAGTTTCCAGGCAGAGGCGAACCGTCCTTCCAAAAGCAAACTACACCCGTTGCTAGTTGCCATCGCCCTAAATCCTACACCCCATGCTGCCCCGAACCTATACTCCCCTTAGAACCTTAACCAAAAAACAATACGTTTAATAATTTTCCCTTGGATTCTCTACGAAATAAAAACCCAAAAAACTCCTAGGCATAAAAAAAAAACATTTATACAAAAAAACAAGTTTGACACGAAACAGTAGGGTGCGGGTTGCAGAGGGCCCCTCGGCCCCAGTGGTCTTCGCCGTTCGGGGGTTTTCACCCTAAACCCTAAACCCCAAAACCCCAAAACCCCAAAACCCTAAAGCCCTAAACCCCAAACCCTAAACCCTAAATCCCAAGAAACCCTAAACCCTAACCACAAGAGCCCCTGTGAAGTCGACAGCGCAGGTCCCAGGGAATGAGGTCGGGACGGTCTCCTGGAAATGGGCCCCCGAGGCTTCGGTTGTAGCTTAAGAGGCACTTTGCAAAGAGCCATACGGACCATACATATATATATATATATGCTACCCCCCCCAGGAGAATCTACCTTTTCAGGTAATCTTGGATCTTGGATGGGTTTAGGGTTTAAGGTTTAGGGTTTAGGGTTGAGTGATGGTACCCCCCCCCCCCAATCTTATGGTTCGAGGCGTACCGTCCTTCCTTCTCCATTATCTGTAATTGATATACAGTACATATACCCTATATACATACATGATGTGGGCACTTATCCTACTTTGTCTTTGCTTTTCCTAGCCCTATGGGATTTAAAGTTCAAGAGTTTAAGCCTCAAACCCTATAGGGTTACAAGGTTCTGTTACTGTAGGGTTTAGCGGGTTTAGGGTTTAAGGATTCTAAACGTGAGCCCTGTAAGGCTTCAGGGTTTGTCGTTGAAACAGTAAAGGGGTTAAAACCCTACAAGGTTTCGGGTTACGATTTTTAAATTCCTAAGTCTTAAACCACAAAAGGGTAAACCATGTAGGGTTAAAACCCTATAAGGGCTAGCCCCGATAGGGTTCTAGAGATACACCCTGAATAACCCTAAAGCTTTACATCCTATAGGGTTTAAATATTTCAACCTAAACCCTAAACCTTTAAACCTATAGAGTTTAAAGGCCACCTATTCGGTTTAAATACCTAACCCTATAGGGACTCTATAGGGTTTAAGGTTCAAGCCTTTAGGGTTACAGATTGAATGCCCAAGCCTTAGGTTTTAATCACTAGATCTTGCACCTGTAAAATCCTATGGGGCTTGCAGATTGTAATGCCTAAACCTCAAGGCTAAATTCCTAAACTTCATTCGCCTTCAAAACCTAAGGTCTGGGCATTTATACTTTTAGCGCCTTTAGGGTTAAGACCTTGGAACCTTCATAGGGTTTTAGGGTTCTGACCCTAAAGGGTTTAGGGTGAGGTTGAAATGTCTAAACCTTAAACACTTAAGGTTTAAACTCTATGGGCTTAGGTTTGAATGCATGAGTCTTAATTAAACCCTGAACCTTTACACCTTAAACCTATAGGGTTTAAAGGTTAAGGGCTTAGGTTCAATTGCCGGTTAAATGCCTGAATCTTAAACCTGTAGGGTTTAAAAGTTAAGGGTTTTGGTTTAATTTCCGGCTTAGATTTGAAATCCTTAAATCTTACACCCTAAACCTTTAAACCTTAACCCTATAGGGTTTAAAGGTTAAGGGTTAAGTTTAGTTGCTTAACCTTGAAACCCCATAGGGTTTAAAGGTGTAGGGTTTAAGGTGTAGCCCTAGATCCTATAGGTTTAAGGCATAGCGATTAAAACCCTAAACCTGTAGGGTGTCGGGGCTTCTCTTAAATCCTTAAAGCCTTAAAGCCTTAACCCCGATAGGGTTTTAGAGACAAGCCCAGCCCAAACAACCCTTAACCTTAAGAAAAAAACCCTGGAGCTGGAGCGGGAGCGGAGCGGAGCGGAGGGAGGGGGGGGGGGGGGGGGGGGGGGGGGTGGGAAGGGGGTGGGGGTTGTGGGGTGGGTACCCACAGTCCAGAGAGCCAAGTTGGAAAGAACCCCCCTCCCCCCCCCCCCCCCCTCCCCCCCCCCCACTAAGCACAACCCGCCTACCTTTAGCAGCAACCCCACTGCTTCTAAGGCAACACACCTAAACAAAATGACAAACTCTTCATACCTCACCTCTGGATATTGAATTGAACTCTCATCATTTAGAAAGATTTGAAATGCGATCCTTGTTGAGATTAAGAGGTAAGAAAAATCTAGACGAAGCCGTTAGAGGTATCTTCAACCCGATACGAAAAGCTACAGGGTCCGTAAAACAACCCCCACCCTTTGGAGTTATCTTTCTCCAGGGGGTGTTCCAATATATATATATATATGCTCGCCCTCGGCGGTCCCCCCCCCCCCCCCCCCCCCACTGGTATTCCCCCCCCCACCCCCCTGTGGTGGGTTTTTTTTTTGGTTTTGGGGTTGGGGGTTGGTTTTCGGGTTTTAGGGTTTTAGGGTTTAGGGTTTAGGGTTTAGGGTTTAGGGTTTTAGGGTTTTAGGGTTTTAGGGTTTTAGGGTTTAGGGTTTTAGGGTTTAGGGTTTAGGGTTTAGGGTTTAGGGTTTAGGGTTTAGGGTTTTCCCCGCGGATGGGGTACTAAGATGATACCCCCCCCCCTGTGGTGTGGTTGGGGGTTGGTTTTAGGGTTAGGGTTTAGGGTTCAGGGTTTTAGGGTTTAGGGTTTAAGGTTTAAGACTTAAGGTTTAGGGTTTCGGGTTAGGGTTTAGGGTTTTAGGGTTTAGGGTTTGGGTTAGGGTTTAGGTTTTAGGGTTTAGGGTTTAGGGTTTAGGGACCGTAGAGTAGACTTGGGGGGGGGGGGGGATACCATGGGGGGGGGGGGGCCCAGGACGCTCGACGCTGAACCATATATAATAGCAAGTTTTGGTCTGTAGGTGAAAGTCTACTCTATATTCAAGGGACCTGTGCCTTGGGCTCTCTGAGTTCTTGTGAACAAAGCTTCAGACGCACGCTCGAGTCTTCCTCTTTGAAGCCCTGGAGTCTGCAGCTTAAGACTGGAGCCTTGCGACACAAAACCGTGTAGGGAGGACTGGCCCACCTGAGGCTCTACTACGCTTCAGGTGCTGGGGTGGCGGGTTTGGGTTTTGGGCTTGGGGTTTGAGAGGGTTTAGGGGGGTTCGGGGGCTAGATTTCGGGTTGATGGGATCCAGAAGCCTGTTGAGTCTCTTGACATCTGGGGGCTCAGGGTTTAAGGTCATCCAAGATGGCTGAACCCTTCAGACGCTTGCCACAAGATGCTGACCCCCTCCTCGTCGGAGAAGAAGCCGGTCCTTTTTTTACGGGTTTTCAAAATGAGGGGTACCTTATTAGGGTCCCTATTTTAAGAAGATAAGGGATCCTGCTTCATGGGTTTGCAGAATTAGGGCACCTTATTATGAGGGTAAAGGGGGATCCTACTATGTGGAACTCTATATCGGCGGTCTGTCTTGTGGTTTTGCGTGCTGCCGCTCTGAAAACGTGGAGCTGAGACGGTTCTTGCCTGAGGCTAGCTTCAGGGCTTCTGGAGCTCCAGCAAGGCGCAATGGCGTTGACGCGTGGGCCTGGGAGGACCTTCACCCAAGGGTTTCGTGGAGGATGCAAGTTCTACCTTGCGGACGTACATGAAGCTGGGGGGGCCTAAACCCTAAACCCTAAACCCGACACCCTAAACCCTATACACCCTAAACCCTATACACCCTAAACCCCTTTGGCTTACACGAAGCTTGGGGTGGTTGCATCAAAGCGGCTTCTCTCCAAGCAGGAAGTAGTCAAGCTGGGCCATGCCCTGCAAGGAGCTTCAACAGCAAGGGTTCAGGGTTCGGTTCTTCCCCTGTTTGGGGGTCTGTATGCCTACTTCCGAGTTGCTCAGTAAGTTCCAGAAAACCCAGGGCGAATTTTGCAGTAGGTTTTGCGGAAGCTAAACCACTAAATCCAAAACACTCTCGACTCCAGAGCCCTCTCGAATTGCACCTCGAGCCGGCAGTACCAGGAGCGAATGAATCATGTTGCGTCGAACCGTTTATCCAGGGGATTGCAGAGACAACTGCCAGGTACACGGGTTGCTTGGCAAGGTTCCTGGTGGCCCTTAAGTACAACCCGGGAAGGCGCCCCTATCTAATTCATGGTTGGGATGGCATTAAGAATGTAAGTTTCCATCCCTTATTGAGTTTCAGTACCCTTAAACACGTAAAATGTTGCCCCACTATGACTAAGCCTCAACCCCCAAGAAATATGAGAGGGTTCCGATACGTGGGGCCCGAGGATTTCATTTGGGGAAACAAGAACCCTTCTGTAGGTGGCCAACAAGCAACGACCAAAAAGGGGTACAACTGGCGATTTCTTGGGATGGCGTTGTGGGCATGTGACCAGCATTTCATTGGCCAACACCTGCTCTGCGCACGGACGAACTTCTCGGCTTTTTCTGGCAAAAGCCCGAAAACCTAAATCCTGAAACCGAAAAGAAATTACTACCCTCGACGCTCTTAGGTCTCTAGGCCTGCAGAACCCTCTAAAGCCCTCCCCCAAATTGAAAAAATCCTGTCCCCATCCGACATCTGAGCGTTGTGTGCCTTCGCCGACGGGATCTCCGGCGCTGGCTTCAGTTTTTTGGGGACCCGCTGGGGGTCGCCCAGGTCCTGGCGCTCGGGCTCAGAAGTGTGGGCGTGTAGAGGGCGGAGAGCTGAACAAGTTGGGTTTTGGTGAGGGGTTTTAGAAGGGGCGGTGCTGTCGGCTCTTTCGAATGAACGACTTTGGCAAAGCAACAACCTTCATTCAGAACGTCATGAGTACATGATGTCATAGCTTCATCGCCAGTGCTTGAGGGACGAAAAGAACAGGTCGAAACAGAGCACTTGGCCCAATTGTTGCTTCTCTACTCTAAGTCTTCTGCACTCCTTTGTTCTTCCCACGCTCAAGATGTGGAAGCAATGCGCGGCATCTGCTCCTGCGGCTTTACGCCTCGTTACCTTCGGCAACGATATCTGGGAGCAATTCCGCCAGACTGCTGTCGTCTTTGCCATTCAATCTCATCAAGCGCCCGTCGGGCAGCAGCAATCGCAGGCTGTGGGCCGGTATGCCCGCTTCTTTCTGGAGGCTGTAGCAAAGCGTCCGCGCAAAAAATGGGATTCCCAACTCCAGCGAAACTGTTGCGAGGTGTTTGCCACTCATTTGGGTTGCAGTGACCTTTGCCTGACCCGCAGCTTCCTTACATTTTTCGATGTGCAAGTTCACAACCACGGGTTGGGCGTCCTCATTCACCCAGAGTTGCCGACAGTTTCTGTCACGATCAAACAGAGCCGCATCCTCTTCGAAGGTGATCAGCTGCTGATACACGACGCGAGCGGATTCGTCCAACAGCTCCACAGTGTGGCCACATAGCCGCATCCGGTGCTCCCACTCGTCGTCGAACATGTTGAAGATGGCGAAGCTTTCCACGCAAGTAGGTCTTGCCAGCTCTACCTCTAGCCAGCCATTGTCTGCATGCGCTGTGTGATTCACAGAACCAGTACGCTTGCCGTCAATGACCAGCTCAGCCGGTCCGTAGGCACCTCCAGGGCCATGCATAGAGGATTGGCATGCAGTACCTCCATTTGCTTGAAGCGCATGGTTGATGCCATCGCAGCCATAGATCTCGATTTGCTTCAAATGGATAGGGTTGTCTGCGCTAGACTGTTTCACACGCAGCTTCTTGACCTTGTCCCAAGCCAATGCCTCGCCGGTGTCACTCACCTGATTCTGAACAAAGCGTTTGGGAAGATCTTCCACATCGGATGTCCTGGCCATGGCAAACACTGCAGGTGCTTCTGCCCAAGGAGGCAATCACAAAGCTGTCTTCTAAGCATCTGTGGCTCCTGTTCGGACGGGTGTGTGATTGATGCTATGCTCCCACGCTGCCACCTCTAGAATCTCACCCTTCCATGAACCAATCCCAGAACCCCAACCGTAATTAACCTCCAACACACAATCAACCTCACTCTCAAAACAGCAGCAAACTGCCTACAGAAATCGTCACCTCGCCTTCAAGCCTCGCCCCCGCAAACTTTCAAGAAGTATGTTATGATGCAGTATAAACAACATGTTGGATTGTATTGCGAACCCCAAAGCTATTCTCCCAGCATCTCTCCGCCTCAAACGAAAACATGTCTCTCGAAACCAGAAACTAAGCTCTCGACCTCGGACCACTCAAGACCCCTCAACAGCTCCCCAACCGTCAGCCCTGAAATGCTCCTCCACCCTCAACCCTGCCATGGACCTCAAAGTTCCGAAAACCTTGATCTACTGATGGCGGAAAAAAAAAACGAATCAAAAGTCAAGATGACCAAGCGCGCACACACACACACATGCATGTGTACATAAATATGTATGCGTGTAGATACTCGGAAAATGCATGTGCTTGATTTATTTGTATTTAGGTGTGTACTGGAAGCCAAAACCCCATAACTGCAAACCAACACAACAGTGCTCTCCACGCGCGCCTGCGTGAGGCTCTGGAGCATCAGTAGGGCGGCCTCGCTTTCGAAGAAGTCTTCGTCTGCTTCCTGCAGAAAGGCACCGGGAGTTCAGGATGCAAGGTCGTCTTGGGTGGGTTTCGGATCCATAAGGGTTTTGCAAGGTTTACACAAAAACCCTCAGCACTCAGACCCTTAAGCCCCCCCCCCCCCCAAACGCTGCAAGTTGAGGATGGGCTTTGGGGTTGATGGGTGTGTGAAGTGCAGCTTTCAATCGCTCGGGAACCTAGGAGCTGGGTCCGCCAAGAAACTGGGCGCTTTGAATACCCTAAACCCTAAACCCTAAACCCTAAACCCTAAACCCTAAATCCTAAACCCTAAGCCCTAAACCCTAAACCCTAAACCTGAACCCTTGCTCCATTTCCCGCGTCCTCAGTCTTTGAGGCTGCAGCGCGCAGCGGTTCCTGCTCGAAAATGTGATGAAACGCACCGCCCAAAAACACATACATATATACACACACGTACATCTATACACCTATGTGTTTTCTCATAAATGAAGTATTTTGCATTAATGTACAAACATATATGTATGCATGTATGCATGTATGTATGTGTATAGTTATAACGTACGGCATCTGTATCTACAACATATGTGTACAGCAAGAAAAAACACACATGTACATAACAATCCAAAACCAATAAAAATATAAGCATAGCAATAAATATACGTAGTTATGTACTTCATGAATCCGGGAACAGCACAGGGCACACCGCACCCAACATCCAAGTGACATTTTCGAATGTTGCCAGATCAGCAATCTGAAGGCAAATCGTGGTGAGTGTAGCAAAGCACGCCACATCAACGGGAGATGCTGTAACGAAACATTTAAAGCCAAATATATCCACATGGTACGCACCTGGAGCAAGGATTGCTTGCGGAACGGACCCGAAACCCAATCCTTTCAAACTCGAGAAGAAGACCGCCCCCTCCTCCCCCTAAACCCTAAACCCTAAACCCTAAACCCTGAACCCTGAACCCTGAACCCCTAAAGCCTAAACTCGGATCCATGCCTTGGACTCTGACTTTGAGAGGTCCGCTCGCAGCAATGGTGTGGCCTGTAAGTAGCTTTAGGGTAGCTGGTCGTAACTTCCTTCCCCCGAAGTGGGAGTCTGTTTCTCGGAGGCCTATGAGAGGGTTTAGGGCTTAGGGTTCAGGGTTTCGGGTAGCCCCAACCCAGGGAATATCGGCTGTAATTCCGGATCCATGAACGCCGAGTGGGTACCGAAGTCCAAATGCTGCTTTTCGGCCCCATGGCTTCGATTCTTAATGCCCGAAAAGCACCCCGACTAACTGACTCGATAACCCTCGATCGCGCTGATTCCTCTTGAGAATTCTTCGTCCTGAACACCTGGTTCCCAAAAAAGCAAATCAGCCCCAAGCCCGAACAGACCTTTGCCAGAAAGCCTTCTCTCCCTCCACGCCCCAAAATCGTCCTGTCCCTGGCCTCCTTGCGAGCCCAGGGGGGTGAAATTGCAGCGTCGATTTTTGCACCGCC